TGCATAGTAAAATGTTACAGGTGCAGTGCAGGTCAGATGGAAAAACTTGCATAGAGCATTTTTCTCTTTATATGAATTGAGTTGTCAGAAGGTCTGTTAATGATTGTTGTTCAGTCCTTAGTCAACATGCTTTTGCTGGAAAATGACCAGGTTGTTTAAAATATTGTTCATGGGGCTGAGTTTGAAAACTAAGCAGCCATAGCGATCCAGCCAGTACTAACCGATGGGTCTGTGCTACTGCTGCAGCTCTAACACCAGTAGCTAATGTAGCCCTAACACGTCAGGTCATAAAATTAACAGGGATATGATGGTGATCAAAAGCTCATAGGTAAGAATTGTGTACTTTTTTGTCTCAGGAAACGGATTCTTTGATAGTTAATGTATGAATCATGTAATGTAATCCACGTCAGGTAGGTAGGTAGGTAGGTACTTTATTGACCCCACAGTGGGGAAATTTCTGTGTTAGAGCAGCAATAGAGAACAACCAACATAACACCATAAGAAAAGACACATAAGAACAGAACTTCATAAAAACACGGGAAAGAACACAACGAGGACACAGCTGCTGTAACTTGCTGCCACTCCGCGCGGCGCAAGCGTACATAAGTACGTAGTAACAAAGAACACTTAGTCTTAAAATAAAAAGTTAAGAGAAGAGGGTGCTCAAATGGCTTGTGAAAAAATATTGAGTTTTTTTATACTGCGATGTTATCAGTGAACCAGTGAACTACGAGGTGTTCTCTATCCTCTGCAGGTGGCGACTGACAAGGTTGCTGGTAAGCTGAGTTCTACTCTCTCATGGGTGAAGAACTCGGTGTCCCACACTGTCAGTCAGATGGCTAGCCAGGTGGCCACGCCCACATCCCTGCAGACCACTGCTACCTCGTCTTCTACGTCCCTGTCCTCGCCTGGCCTGTCACCATCCTCTCCTGTGCAGCTCAGTCCTGATGATGTGGAGCTGCTTGCCAAGCTTGAGGAGCAGAACAGGTGAGCTGTCTTTCTCCTCCTGCCCGTCAGCTGTCAAGGGAAGGTAAACTTTCTTCAAAGGATGGTGCCTAGACATGTGTAGTGTAGTTGCTCAGGGAGAGAGGAGCATGATTGATTGACAGACTTTATTATCGTAATAACTGACATTTGGAATGTTCAAAACCTTAGCAGAAATTGAGGCTGCTGCTGGTTTGACTCTCTGAACAACAGTGGGAGGTTGCTTGTCACGAGGTTTCCTTCCAATATGAGTCAAGACAAGTGTTATCAACTTTTTACAGCATAGAGTGTTATAGTAATGAGTCCTAAATCCCAAAACTGACTTAGTATTTTTGCACTTCTGGTTTTGTCGCCCTGAATTTGGTGGGTTTATTGACTGGGTTTCTGGTTAGATGCCTGAAATAAGGTCTGCAGTTAACACAAGACCAGTGCATTTTCATTTTTTTTTTGTTCATTTCGTTTTGTTCTTTGAAATACAATATGTCAATAAATATCCTGCTCATGATTTTTAATGGTTTTACAAGTCTTACAAAAGGTGGTTGCTAACAAATGTCTAAATGAGACCACAGAGGCTGTCTGGGATATTAAACATCAGCACTGCTAGAAATCATTTTACAAATTGGAAGCCTTGGTGGTGATGAGAACCAGGACTATGCTAACTTCCAGGTCGGCCTACAAAAATACATCATTCCTAGGGTACTCTACTGCTTGTGAAGAGGGATTGCTTTTTTGTACCCTAAATGTAAGTCGTGAGGGAAGAAGACTGTACATAAGGAGAACAGAGTGCTTACAAATGTGAAGCAGGTTATGACCTACAGCATAACTGGGCAGTTGTTGTGCTGTGCAGCTTGACAGATTACCATGCACAGAAATGTGACAAAGTTGTAGGGTGTCATTAGCTTCCTACACAACCCTAACAAGTTCAACTTCCTCAGGAAGTGCAGTGTTTGCTGGTCTGACAGGTCTGGATTGCAGGCAGGCCAGTTTAGCACCCAAGCTCTTACTTTGGAGCCATGATGTTGTAATACATGCAGAATGTGGTTTGGCATCGTCTTGCTGAAGTAAACTAGGCCTTCACTGAGAAAGACATCATCTGGATGGCAGCACATCGTGCTCCAAGACCTGTACTATATATATTATTCAGCGTTAATGGTGCCTTCACAGACGTCCAAGTTACTCATTCTATGTGCAGTAATCCACCCCAACGTCATCACGGATGCTGTTTTTTGAACTGTGAACTGGTAACAAGGCACAGGGTCCCTCTCCTCTTAAACCTGGCCCCAACGTCATCACGGATGCTGTTTTTGAACTGTGAACAAGGCACAGAGTCCCTCTCCTCTTAAACCTGAAGGATGCTACAACAATGACTTCCAAAAAGAATTTGAAGTTTTGACTTGCCAGACCACAGGACAGTTTCCACATCTTATCAGTTCATCTGAAATGATTTAGAGTCCAGACAAGGTGGTGGCATTTCTGGATCTTGTTAATATGATTTTTTTTTTTTTTTTTGTCTAAGAAAGGACGGGGATATCTG